TTTGAAGATCTGCTTCAGGCTTTGGGGGGGAACAACAACCTGTTGGTTTTAAAATGCTGCTCTCCTTCCAGCTGCTCAGCACTGGCTGAGCTCAGCGCTACCGACAGGCAGCTCAGGGGAGAAGCGGGGTGGAGGCAGTCACGGGTCATTCGGAGAAGGGAAGGAGGGAGGATATGCAGAGGCCTCCTGTCCAACTGGGAAAGAATTGTGTGATATGGTACTTCTGCTTATGTTTGTCCTCTGAGATGGTAAGGTATCTCCTCGCGTTAGGGATAAAGGTCTTATTCAAGGCACTTGGAAGTCCGTGGGAGCGTTTAATAGACTCGGTGAAATGGCGCGTTGGAAGGGCCTGCACAGGAGCCTCTGATCTCGCTTTTGTGGGGGGAGTCAGACACCGTATGCTCTGACCAGGTGCTCTGGAGGGTGATGACATCTCTAAGGGGCTGCCTGTTTTCCTATGGCTTCTGGGGAACATGCAGGACGGGAGCAGCAGGCAAAACCTGGCAGATGAACCCATCCTAACACACTCTCCTGCAGCCTGTAAGGAGGAGGCTAGAAGAGAGATTGGTCCCCACCACAGAGAAGGAATTGCTGTCTTTCTCCTCTCTCTAGAGGAAAGCAGCAGAAAATATCTCAGTGGTTTTCCAGGGCACATAGCTCTTAGGATCACTATAGAAATACCTGGAAACAAGCAGTTGGAAGAAGGTATAGCAGACTTCTAAAGTTTCATAGCACCCAGAAACCATGCTATTTATTCTTGAATGCCATCTACTAACAATTTATTTCTTAATTACTTTCATTGACATTTCTTATTTTAAATACCCTATGTAACATCTGTGATGTGGGGGGCCTGCAGTTTCGGAGCTGAAGGAGTTAATATTTTATTGGGACAGCTGGTCAGCTTGTAATGTTCCTTATACCTTGAGCACCTCATTCCCCTTTGCAGACTGGGATATTCTGTCTGTGTTTTCAGTCCTCCCTTCAACTTCCCTTTTTCTTTCCACCCATCGCCAGGCTTCCTCCCACCTGCCCGCGCTTCCCTGCCTGCTCCTTCCACCTAGAGGGCAGCTTCTGGCCTCCCTAAGCTCACTCTTCTGACTCCAACGAGTAGCTCTAGTTGTGCTACCTCCTTGTGCAGGAGATTGCATCCATGAGTTTGTTACAGTATTGCTGAGATCTTATTTCCCCCTCTTCTTTCAAGAGCTTTTTCAGCAACTTTTGTGCAGTAACCTTGAAAATATTTAATGATCATTGACTCCACTATATTACCTGTTCCAGAGGTATTTTATTTTAGTTATGTGATACCTGAATTAGCATTATTATTACAGTTTTTCATTTTCTATCTGTAAGATTTCCTCCCCCACCAGTCCAATACATTTTGCAAAGATAAAAATAAATTAAAGGTGAAGAGTTATGGCCAAGGACAAGAGCTTGCAAAGTTCAGCCTACGAGGTATTTCTTTCCCCATTGAAAATATAATCTTTATAGATAAAGGAAATGCCAGATACCTAACTCATTATAAGCAACTGAGAAAATGGGACTAAAGGCTTCCTTCTTATACACTTAGGTTTTGGCTTGGTTTCACCTCTGCCACCTAGCCAAAGGAATGAGGAAAACAGTAGTAAAGACCCCTAGTGCACAGCGCCAATTTGATTGTGGCTTCTTTGACCGTACCTTAGATAAGACAGTGTGATGGCCACTAGCACCCAGGCACTCAGCTGCCATGCAATTTCAGACAGCAAACATCAATCAGTAGAAGTGTAGATATTGGTATGATGCCACTACAGAAGATGATTTTCGTCCTCAATATACTTACATTGTGGAACTCCTTCCCAGAGGATTTTGCTGAGGTCAAAACTGTAAGTAGGTTTAAAAAGGATTAGATATATTCATGGGGGGGGGTGGGCAGGTGTGATGTGTGCTATTAAGCGTGACAGCCTGGATGTTACAGAAAGCCCCTGATGGCTGGAAGGCTGCAACAGGGGAACTGCTGCTCTGTGCTGAGCCTGGCTGGTACTGCCAGGGGCAGCAGCCACAGCCACCAGGGGCTGATGCAAAACAGCGGTCTTCAGTCTGGAGAAAGCCTTTGGATTCCTATGGAAATGGCTATTTGTCTTAATTGGTTATTCTCCACTAAGAGCTCATAGATCCCCAAGTCTCCAAGTGATAAAACTGGGATTGCCCCCCTGAACTCAGTGCCACAGAAAGCACAGGGGGGTTTGCTGGGGTTGTTTCAGTAGAGGCAGTTTTGCTGAAGTGAGGGCTAAGGAGTGTTTCAGCATTTGTTCCTGGACTTCTAAGTCCATAGTCTGTCTTTTGGAGAAGCATGGATCCAAACTAACGTTTGACTGACTTAGAAGCTACTGAGTAGTAACATGTTATATGTCACTTGCATCCCATTTCTTTTATTTTAATGATTAACAGCCTCCTGTGTTGCAATTCATAATTCAGGCTTTTTCCTCCTTTCTTGAATCAGGCAGCAAAAACTGATCCGTGACAGAAGATGTGAAATTGCTGCACAGGGGTCCCTCTCACTGAAGGGCTGACAAGATACTAGCTGAGGAGAACGCTTAATTGCATGGGTGATCAAAGGAGAATGTATGAAGACAGGGAGACTGTAGGGGGGGTGTATGTAGGAGTGTGTTTTAGCAAGAGATTATAGGGGAACACGTGAGTCTGGCACATGGGAAATGACAGAAACGAATGCATGAGCCAGTACAAAATAGCACGATAACCAAAGGCATGCACGGATCAGCTTCAGCCCCTTCTCAGCTCTTGCCTAAAAGAACTGTATTCTGTAAGCTGTCATCCTCCAAACTACATGAGAGAAAAAAGGGAAGGTTTGTTCTTTGCAAGTGGGAAAGGAGGAGGAGGGGGGGAAACCTCATGAGGCAACAAGATCCAGGCTGAACCAGAAAAGAGAGATCAAAGCAATGAGCTGGAGTGGGAAGAAAGGACGCAGGACACTGACACGGTGTACTCCTGGGAATGGTGGGAACTGAACTAAAAAATTGAAAACTGAAAAAGCATTGCAGGCACATGCCAGCCCATCCATGTGCTGTAAAACGCTGTACTGTCAGAGTTTCAGTTCACAAATTGTATCGTGCTTTGTTGTATTGCTTACTGTCTTCCTTTATACTCAGCTCCACTTACGTCACGGGGAGTATTTGAGGAGCAAGGTACCTCTAAATATGAAAACAGATACCATTAAAATGGCTTACACACAGACTTGTACCATTTTAGCCCAAATCCATTAAAAAGCTCATTACAGTTAAATTGGCATAAACCTCTGTGCCAGTGATCTTCAGCTGATTTAAGCTGCATCAATATAAAAGCAGTTTCAATTGATTTAAGAGAGTCTAGGCAGAAATGCACTGCATTTCACAAACTGATGGGAGGACATACTCTTATTGAAATATTAAAACGCGTGCACTCAGTCTTTTCATATTCAGCTGCAGGGGTTTTGAACTTTTACCATTTTTTACTTTACAAGTCCTTACAGGGAGTGAAAACAAGTCATTTTGGAGCAGTCAGATCAACAGCCTTTTGCTTCATCAACTAAACCTTTGTGCAATCACAGAAGCCTTCAGCTTTAGCGTTTTATAAAATTCTAAGGATGGAGGAGAAGCATAATATTTCTCCTACTTATGCTACTCTGAACTCAGTATTAGTGTCTGACTATAGCTTTCTTTTGCAAAAGGCATCTAGCTTTCAGTTGAATTCACCCTTTTTTTGTAAAAATAATGAAAACCCATCATCTAAGATGCTTACTCCAACAGTAAACCATCCTGCCTCTTGGAACCAAATGCCTCATTCCTAATTTGAGTTTCTCTGGCCTTCACTTCCAACCCTCAATTCTTGTTGCATCTTTTTCTACTCAACTAAACACCTTTCCAGTTCTAAGAAGTCCAGTTCAAGTTAATAGGCCTTGCATAGACCTGCATATCTCAAAAGTGGGTGACACTCAAGGTTACCAGTCCTCATCACAAGTAGCTCTTTACCTCCCACAGGCAGGAGTGAGAGAAACATTTCTCAGTCTAGGAGCAAAGGCAGCACAGTTAGGATCTCTATAAACACAGATACAGCAGTATTTTAGTATTTCAGAACTCAAGGCACACTATACACACATATACGTCCTGTAGGTTTCAGGTACATCTGGTCCCACTTCCCAAAATCCTGACCAGCAATTCAGTGGATAACAGTAAATGCCATCAAACTTTGGTGCTCGGCTACTTTCATTGCTGTTTCTCCCACCTTTCCAACCACCTCCATCTAGAAAGGGCTGGAAGCACGTGGCTAGGACGACGCAGAAAGGAAGCATCCAGCAAAACTGCTTTGTTCTCTGGCAGGAAGAAAAGAGAGATTTCAAGTATGATTGCTCTAATCTCTTCTCACGTACAAGGTCCATATCTGCAGTCTGTACGTGCAAAAATTACCCTCTCTCCCAATATTTTCTCCCCTCCTCATGGATATGGAAACCAAAAAAAGCGGTACTAGAAGGGAGGTTGCCCTGACCATTAAGGAACTGGACATGGCTGAGTGAGTCAGCTGAGAACTCTGTCAGATTGTCTGCACGATCCCAGATAAGTCATTTAATCACTCTGTGCTCGAGTTCCCCACTACAGTAGTTATTTGGTCTGCATGGTTTGTTTATGGCCAGCTTGAAGCAGTCTAATGTTATTGAAGCTTATCTAGTGTAACACTGTGAGGGCAAATGCAGTTGTGGTCTTGAATTGATGCCGTGTAATGTTAAAAAGAGGATAGAAAAGTATTGCTCCTCATGGGCTGGCAGTGATAAATTATGCAGTCCTCTCCTTCCAGCCTCTCACATCTGCGATAGCTACAGTGGAACCTTAGTCCTAACACTGCTCTTATGTAGCACTGGGGCTGCCAAGCCAGTCTCGGCTTTCAGGGGAGATTTCATGAAAAATAAATTTGACAATTTCTCCAAACTGAAAGGCCTCTAACCATGCCTCTAGCCTGCTAGCCATAGTACTTACATGCTTTGTGAAATTTGTGTTTCACATCAAGAAGGGTAGATGATGGAGGTACCTGGAAAAGAAAATAAAATGCATGCGGATTAATTTTTCTGTTGTCTTCACTCTGGGATCCCTTCTCCCCTCCTCTAATGAAGAGATTATTCAACTTGTCTGCAAGTTCCTTAGGCAATAATGAAGCAAATCAGCAAATTTGCTGTCACATGTTGGTATGTTATTAAGGATTGCCCACATTTGATTTACACATTACCTGGGACATCTCTGCTTGGCCGATGGGAGGGTAAAATCTCAAGGGTCAAGAGGGAAAGCTGCTGGCCCTGCGTGAGGCAATAACTGCCTCCAAGATCAAGTGGGACAACTTAAAGGGTTAGCTTTAAAGTTCAGTTCAAGCATGCTGGGGCCTGGCTCTCAGAGACATGAAAGGGTTTTCCTGAGGGGCCAGTAGCAAAGGTGGCAGGTTCTGTCCTTTCTGCCTGAAATGAATTTGCTTCTGCATGCTGTTGTTCATGTGCACTGAAGCAATTCAGGTGTCACAGTGTTAGATGGCAGCCTGAAGGCCTTTTAGGCTCTATTTTATTATGTATATTGATTTCTAAATACACTTTGTGCAAAGTATCTGAGAAACGCAGAATTTACTAGAGCGAAAGACTTAGAAGTACCTTGCATTTACAAGGAAAGGCAATGGTAAGCTTCGGGAAGTAGTACGTTGAGCTTGAGATCAAGGTGGCAAGAGACAAGGGTCTGGTCTTAACAAGACCAACACTTTGCAGTGGACACTATAATATTCTATATTGTTCATTTAAGCACAAAGACTGAGAAGTAAATTGGACTGTGTCTTAACCATGGGGATCTGCTTTGGCTCTAGAAAGGGACCTCATTGCTGCAGTCAGAAAGCAGAATGCAGGAAACCACCTTCCCTGGAGACTTTAGGCACCTGTGCAGCATAGGCTAATACCGTATGAAGTGGTGGTGACATACAGCAAAATCTTGAGGAGCACCAGAATTTCTTTGGGCTGAGGTAGAGAAACAGGCATGGCACTGTTTTCCCTGGCTGGGCACTCATCATCTGGTTCACTCTTTCTCCAGCTTCCCTCAGTCTAACCAGAACACGGCAGCTTCCTGACGTAGCCTCCTTGGCACTTACACAGGAACCCAACAGTTCTGCTCTGCAGAAGCTTGTCTGTCTCCTCCCACCTGAAGATTTCTATGGGGTTTGCTGGGCAATTCAATTCCTCTTTCACTGGATTAGTTAGAACTCATACACTTAAGACTTACTGAGCCTTGCTTGAATCTTGGCACCATCTTTAGCCTGGTGTCTCACTTCTTCCAAATGTGATTAGTGATATTTATCTATCTATCTATTTTACTTATTAGTGATATTAGTGAACTGTGACAATACCCATGCATATAAAGTAGAGAAGAACAAAAGGAATTCTGCTAGTAGAGATCAGTCAGCACCTTAAAACAGGTTGTTTTGCTGAAAAGACTGAGTCTGGAGAAATGCTCACATAAGAAAATAAAACTGCTGACTCAAAAGGAACAGATCAGTACCGAAAGAAAAGTTTTGCTCTTATATAACTTGACACCCCATGCAAATATACAATATACGTGTCATTAGTGCTTAGGAGTAAGCCAGCTTGTTTCCAGTAATAATATGAATAGGCAGAGAGCTCAATTCAGATTTCAATATCTAAAGCTGTACAAAGATACCTGTGCTAAATGGTATGTGAAGTTCAGATTTTCCCTATCTTTTTCTTTGGGTTTAAATGAGAACACTTTATTTTCCACAGTTACAGAGGGCTTTACTGGGCACTGGAAAAGTCCTTCTTCGCAGAAACTGCTCTAAGAGAACTTCTATTTAAACCCTGACTTGTCTCTCTGATGCCAACTCAACCCAAATCAGGGGCTGGACTCCTTGAAACCAAGGACATACCTTCACCCCTCCCCGACATCACCAAGGTCTGTATTGCACCCAAACCATGTTTTGAACAGTACTGGGCCAGGAGAGGGACATTTTCCTTGGAATTCCTGAGGCCAGCTGGATCCCTTTTCTTCCCAGCTACAGGGAACAATAGAAGAAGCCATCTTATCTTTCTCAATTCAAAAAGGAAAGGATACATTTTATCTGTATTCATTGCACTTAAGTCATTCCACACAACACCCGGTAGAACAGCACATCTCCCATAGTCTACATGTGCATTTCTTGTAAAGTGCACAACTACTGTGGACTTGAATATGGGAGGTGGGGGGGATCTGGGGTGTGTGTGTGTATGTGTATGTTTTCAAAACCTCTAAAAATATCTAAAATTGCTTTTTAACACCTTGCAATCCCACACCTGTGAAGTCTGGAGCCTAGAATCCGTCAGATATGGATGGAAGTGCTGTTAGCTGGAAATGACCCCATGGCACACAAGACTGTAGACCAAAATCTGTCATGTGTCCTAGCACAGGGCAGGTGTGCAGGCTTTCAGAACTGGCATGGCCAGCTCAAAGACAGGGATGGTCTTTTCCGATGTGATGGAGGATCACCTGGCTTTCTAATTACAGTATAAACTGAATTACTGCAGAGCCTGCATCCCTACAGGAGATCAGCATCTCACCACTCTGGGTTCTGGGAAAGA